AATTTTTTTTGTCATAATTTTGGATTTACCTTGTACACAGAATCTGAAAAATAAGTGACGCCATTTCCTATTGTGATTAAAAACAGTATTTGCAAAAATGGCGAATGCACCGGGAGTAATTGCAAAATTAAACTGATGTGTATTTTGATTTTCGTATTTTTTATTTCTAACAATAAATATCGCATCGTTAAAACAAGTTTCATTATGCTGTAATATTGATTGCAAAGTTAATTAGAGCTTTGGTATAACGGGTATCATTTAAAAGCACGCAGCTTTACAACAATTAATCTTTATGACAACAACCAAAAATGATCCCAACGCGATACGAACTCATCTCCTTTAATATATTTTACATGTCATTTGCCCGATAGTCGATTACCCTTTCGAGATCATTCCATAAATAATTTATGTCAATGTCATTGTTCAAGGCCACGATAAAATTTAATTTTAAGCTTTATTCCTGCTCACTTCGGCTACGAATTTGAATTTGTGTTTGAGCAATAAACCTGCTACGAGCAATTAATTATACAAGGTGTCCCTAAACTTAGGAGCATATTAAGCAAGTCAAAATAAGACGAAAATCTAAATAAATATTTTTCTCTACGGCTACTTAAGAATAGTAACATTCTAGTGTAATTTTTGATCATAGAAAGGATGTTTTTCTGCAATACTGTGCGAGAATATTCCTACTCTTGTTTAAGAATGGTCACAAGTAACGACATCTCCTGGCTGTTTACTAAACGTAAAAAATTTAAAAATATTTAAATATTACTGTATTATTTATTAATTAAAAAATAATAGCAGTTGTATAATTAAGGTTAGGCACAAAAAATTATTTATATTTATTGTTTTTTAAATATACAAATCAAAATTATAATAAATTTGATATTAAAATGATAAACCAGTTACCTACCATACCGGCTTTGAAGTTTTGACAGATTCAAAAAGTTTAAAAAAAGACCTTTAAAATGTAGAAAAAGAATAGATGTTGACATAGATTACTTGTAATGTTATTTTTTTTATTAGTTAGTGTAAATAACTATTTTTAATTATAATAAAGATTTAGGCATACCATTTGTTTAAATTTATTATAATTTACATTATAAAATTGTGACAGCACAAAATGGTTTGACAATACAAAAAACTTAAATGTCAAAAACTGCTTGGTTTTTTTTCTGTTTAAAATTATATAAGCGTTACTATTCTTACGTAGTCGTAGAGAAAATAATGTCTAAAACACGTTTGGAATAGCATATTCCACTCTCGCAAAAACCGTCACACTCGCCTTCGGCTCGTGTGTCAAATTTTTCCTCGAGCTGAATATGCTGTATTCCAAACTTGTTACAGAATGTACTATTCCTAATTACGTACACACAACGAAAAACGTACGTAATATTAATAAAAAAAAACATTAACGCAATGATTTTTTACATTAATTTTGCTCCGATGCTCAAAATCATTACCACAATGCTTTTAAAGTATTACTCAATGTACAAGGACGTAATATTAATGCTTGGCGGACATTGATTTTAATCAGGAAGATCTCAAATAAAAGTACTGATATTAATGACCATTGACATGGATTAATGTCCTAGTACATTAATTCTATGCCCAGTAAACATCAACCAATTAATAAATTTTTAATCAATTAACAATTAAAGAACATTATCCCAATCACCTAATATACATTAATTAATGATCTGTTAGCATTATCATAATGCAAAGAAGCATTAATAGTAGGCCTGAAATAAGGGATGGAAAAATATCGATAAATCGATATATCGATAAATCGATAAATCGATATATCGATATCGGTATACCGGAATGGATCGATATATATAAATATGGGGTATTTCAAAAGTCAAGGACAGCAGAAAAGGGGTGGATAGAGGATGGAATTTTAAGTCGATTGAAAAACGGCAAAGACCATTTGACTTAGAATCCCATCCTCTATCCACCCCTTTTCTGCTGTCCTTAACTTTTGAGATACCCTGTATATATGTAGATAAATTATTACACTTACCTTAAGTTTTAACATTAAATCAATTTTTTTGTTGATCAGTTAACAAAAAGAGTTAGAAATATGTAAAAAAATATATTAGTAATTATTACTATTAATATTACTTATGTAATGTTCTCTTTAGCCAGTTCCCTTTCCCTTTAAAGAAGTTCCCAAACATTTTCTACAGGGTTTATGTCCGGGCCACCGCAAAACTGGAACTGGAACTACATATTTCTAGTCCTTTTTGTAAATATTATGAAACTAAAGATTAATATAAAAAAATAATAAAAACCCTTGGTAATTTAAAATCCTTATTTTTATTACAAAAAATTTATGAAACATAAATAAACCTTAACTTTTTAACATTGTCTTACTTACATTCTAAAAAGTCACATAATACATGGATTTTGGAAAATGTATTAGAATGCTTCATTTAAAAAAAGTTTTTTTCAATATATGTATGACCAGACCATGACACATTCTTCTGGGAAATAAAGGTTAAAAATACTTGCACTTTTTTATATTTCATATAATAATAAACATAAACGCACAACAATCGGGATGGGCTGGCAAGCACGTCGCAACAGGATTAACAGGAATACTAAACTGTTGTTAAATTGTTTTCTTACTTGCATTTTTAGGTGGTGGGAAACAACAGGGCCTAATATTAATGTATTTAGACATTGGCTCAACGTATTTGGCGATAGAGTTATGATTTGTTGTATTATTTAATATGTTAGAGCATTATATTCATGCTAAGGTACCTAAGTTGATGTCTACATAGTCATTAATGTAATAATTTTAGATTATGAAATTATACCATTTAGAGTATTAATCTATTAAGCCTTGACATTAATTTTATCACTGAGCAATGATTAACTAATGTACTCTAGGTTATTGATTGATTGATGTAAATAATCATCGTATTAATGTAAAATATCATTGTCTTAATGTATTTTGGCTAAAAAATAATAAAATTCCTGCACTAGGATAATGACCAGGCAGACAATGTAATCAAGTAATTATGATAATGCTTAAAAAATATGAGTTAATGTATTATTGGATTGTCACAATGTCTGCCAGACATTGTGACAATCCAATAATACATTAACTCATATTTTTTAAGCATTATCATAATTACTTGATTACATTAATACTATGAAAAGGACATTATCGTAATGATTTTGCACTTAATGATCGTAGAACATTAATATCAGGTACGATATTTTTTTCTGTGTATGTTTAAAAGATACACGGTGATAAAGTGTTACTTATCATATCAGTTAATTTAATATAACTTCTACTATGGTAGACTTGGAAGTGATATTTTGCGAACAGTCACTAACTACCAAAACACATATTCACACATAATTACAATTAAGGAGCATCCGTGCAAAACCGGCTATATCCACTTTTGTTGGGAAAATGGCAAAAACTCTCGGTTTCCTGGCCTTTACAGATAAAAGTAAAAGCAAACTTGAGTTTTGTGGGCTTTGTGGTACTTGATTTATAAGACATATATATATAGTATATAGCCGGTTTTGCTCAAAAACCGAATGTAAAAAAAACCTTTAATATTCAAAAATATTAACAAAATAAATTTGGTGCAAACAAGAAAAAACAAAACAAATTTTAGTAGTAGTATCGACATATCCAAGCCACATGCTCATCATCATTATTATTTATTGGATATAGCCGGGTTTGCTATAAAAACGTGGATTTGGACATTATTGCTCCTAAAGCTACCTTTTAAATGTAATTTTAACATGGATATTGTCAGATTTAAACAGAATTATCTTGGTTGTCGATAGAAATGAACCCAAAGATGCGAAATCAGAAAAAAAAACAAAAACTGAATAAAATGGATTTAGCCGGTTTTGCACGGATGCTTCTTAGTTGTTCGAGTGAACACAGTGTCGTAGAAACAGGGGTTGCCTAAACTTATTGTCCCATACAATCTTTGAGGTTAGGTGTCTATATAATTTGATGTAATTTTTCGATTACTCAGTTCGGCTACTATTCAAAAGGTGTACCTCTCAAACTTCCATAAAATAAACCGTTTCCGATATATTCGAGATAACAATAATTGTTATTTCGCATTAAAGAATAAAATTACCTTAAGGTATGATAACAAATTTTTTAATTGAAAAAACTACACTTTAAATGTGACGGTCAGGGCAAAGAGTCTCGAGGCTCATGGAATGCCCTTTTTAGTTTTTTCAATTAAAAAATAAAATTTGTTATGATAGGTATACCTTTTAATCCTTTCAAATAATGCAATATAACAATTATTGTAATCTCGAATATCTCGGAAACGGTTTATTTTATCGAAGTTTGAGAGGTACACCTTTTTAATGGTAGCCGAACTGTGTAATCTAAAAATTGCATCAAATGTTATAAAAACCCAACTTCAAAGTTTGTATGGGACAATAAGCTCAAAGCAACCCCCGTTTCTACGACACTGTGTTTACTCAAACAATTATAATTATGTGTGAATATGTGTTTTGGTAGTAAGTGACTGTTCGCAAAATATCACCTTTCTAATACTACCATAGTAGAGGTTATATTAAAAAACTGATATAAGTAACACTTTATCACCCTGTATCTTGGAAACATGAGTAATTAGGAAAAATATTTATTTGGGTGTTCGTCTTATTTTGACTTCTTTAATCTTTTCCTAAATTTATGCCAATAAGTTTAGGGACACCTTGTATAAGCATGTATAAGGAAACTATTAATATATATTCTTTTGAGGGTAAGAAACACTAACAATAACAAAAATAATATTACGCGAATTTTCGTGGTAACTGAATATTATGTTTCTCTAAATTCTAAAAATAAAAGTTAAGTAAAAAAAACATAATTCATAAAGAATTGCAAATTATTTTTGTGATATATTCTAAATACTTTTTATCAGTATAATTTTCATTTGTTAACAAATTATTTGGTAAAATAATATGTTATCAATGTTCTATTTATTAATTATTTTTTTTTGTTTTAGTTGTACTAACACAATTTGGTTGAAATTCATACATAGAATGATATTTAATATTTGGTAAGTAAGAATTTATTTATTATTATACAACCTTTATTCCAAAAACACCCAATAAAGGAATCAAAGTCCTTTTTAACGATTTCCTGTTGTATAAAAATAATTTGCTTTTATTGTTAAAAGAACAATAAGTTATAACTTTATGCTGGAAAAATTAATAGCTATATTATTTTTTGTCTGTATTGCTTTCCTGTGTAAACGTGTAAAGTATAAGAAAAGTTTCTTAATGAAAAAATCCTTTGTTTAGATACAGAAACTTTATGTAATCTTTAACTTTATCTATAAAAGTATTTGCTTTTGAATAGCATGATATATTGATTTGAATTGCAATGCATTGCATTTTATAGAATATAAATTAGTAAGTTAGTGGTATAAGATGCTTCTAGCTTATATTGGATGTGATAAGAATAGACAGTTATTGAGTATGTTCTCAGAAGTTTGTTTCCAAAATAAAACTTCAATAGGTTATTTGGTTTTCTTAAAATATAAATTGCTATATATTGGCGTATTTTACTTTGTTATATTTTAATAAAAACAATACACTTAGGATGCATTACAGTGATTCGTTTATTTTTGTAATAGGTACATTATTTTAAACACTTCAAGTGCATGGAAACACGAAACATATGGGAAAGGAAAAAAAGAATCTTTTAAAATATCAGTGCAGGGTTCGTTTCACAAAAATTAAAAGTGAATATTAAAAAAAATTGCAAAAGTTATCCTGGAAATCGATTTTAAATCTTCAACCACCGATAGGGGTGAAAAATGCATAATTTGAGCAAAATGTAGAAGACAATAATACGATAATTTGTTCTAAATTTCAAATTTAATTAAAACTGATGTTTTAAATTTCTCCCCCCACCTTTTAACCCCCGAAATGAACCTTGACCACTTCACCACTGTAAACAAAAATGTTGCCAGCTTTTTCTAAACAATTTACCTTTCAGAGTCGTACAAGTCCTACGGGTTAAAGTTAAAGTTATTGCCATCAAATGAACCCAGACAAATGTTAAATAAAGCAGAAATTTGCAAGTGAATAGCTTTAAAAAGTTTCTTTACGTTATGTCGAACATAATAAAGACACCAGAGGGTGTTTAACAAACGGTACATATTAAAAATTTTCTCACGTGTAAAATATGTTTTTTATTATTACATGAAATAGGTTATTTTATTACAAAAAAATGTATTTGTAAAAAATGTTATTTTTTAATTAATTAATTAAAAGTTCTTTTAACAGTCGGTTTTATTTTTTTGCCAACTTTGCTTGAAAAATCCCAGAGTATTTATTGAAAGGTCTCGTCTGGATGCACAATCCATAAGAAATAAAATGCGAGAGTTGTAAAAATATATGACCAAATAGAAAACGAAGTGAATAGTAAATACCCCAGACAAATGGTATTGAAAGACCTAAATAATAAAAGTCTGTATAACCAATTGAATTTATAGGTAACTCTATTTAATTTGGTTTAATTAACTTTAAAGCCACCAGAGTTTTACAGAGCAGGCCACGATTACATTAATAACAAATCGCGGCCAACCGATCATCAAGCGGGTTGCCTATCGGTGATTTTATGCGGTATTTGAGGTTGAGGGTTTGTGATTTTGTTAGTTAGAGTTTTTATGTTAGTAAAAAATGTATACAAGGCTCAAAAAAAAATTTTTGTTTTATTTATATTATAAATTGTATATACCTACACTGTCGTTCCTTTTTAACAGGTTCTGCACAAATATTGTTGTATTTTTAATTATTAATAATTATGTTTTTATGCCCATGGACAATCAGCATCTTCTTTAGGAATGCAAGATATATGGTTATTGTCCCACCAATATCCCTCTTCGCAATATTGTATGTAAGGTACTCCGTGTTCACACCATATACCCTTTGTGCAGTCATTTAGATAGTCCGTGTAATAGTCTTGATCTCTCCATGAACATAGGGTAAAATCAGGCAAGGGCAGTGTTGTGGTTTTGTCCGTTGTTTTTTCAGTTGTCATTGGAGTTTCAGTGATTTTGTCAGCTGGGTCAGTTGTGGGAACACATTTTGCATTTTCAGGTCGATCACAAACGTCCAATTTAACATTGAAATGAAGTATTCCTGGACAGCTTAGTAAAACTAGTTTTCCCGAAGCACACTGGTAAAACTCACTACAATTGTATTCATTTCGTAAATAAATCGGTGTGTCCGATTGTGGACAAATATCTATAAAATAATTGTTAAAATTTGTATTATTTATATTAACGATGTTTTACTTTCAAATAAACTAAGGGTCCCGCAAAATTCCCCTGCTATCAAACAAAAAACAACTAATAATTTCATATTGTGCACTTTGAGATTTACTTGTTTCTATGATGATCCATTGAAAATTTAATGAATTTATTCGTTTTTTAAATCCCTTAATCTTTTTACAAACGAGTTTGTGATGATATTCAAATTTTTTAATTGCTGATAACAAGTAAAATAAAACAAATAAATGATTTTGATAATTATTATCTTACGGATTTGTATAATATATACTGGTTGTAATTATTAAGGTGTTTACTTCTATAGCCTATTTTTTGCATGTTACCTATTTTATTTTTATTTATTTTTTAATTTTTTTTTGTATAAAATTAAACTTAATGATTAGAATAATTGTTGTAATGTTAATTGTACATCATCACCCTGTATATTTAGTTTGTTTTGGCGGTAAAACTTATTTTAATATAATAAAACATTTTATCACAATAGGATATTAAGTAATAAAGGACAAATTTACTTGTAGTAAAGTTTACTTAAAACATATTTACAAAGTTGCCAATTCTTTGCGATTTCGGCCATTTCAAGCGCGCGAAACGCACGAATTACAAAACTGTTTTTACAAAAAAAATTGTAGATTATTTATTATATAATATATTGGCATCAAAATTGTCAAAAATATTCTTCTTTTATTAGGTTATACATTAAATAAAAAAAAAACGCAAGAAATATTTTATAAAAGTAGATATAATTTTAATAATTGAAAGGTGTGGACGGGACAAAAAAAAAGATTTATCTTGTCCCGTCCATCCACTGTCAATTATTGAAATTATCTCTACTTTTATAAAATATTTCTTGCGATTTTTTTTTATTTAATGTATAGCCTAATAATAGAAGAATATATTTGACAATTTTGATGCAAATATAATATATAATAAATTACCTACAATTTTTTTTATAAAAACAGTTTTGTGATTTGTCCCGTCCATCCGCTTGAAATGGCCGATTTCTTATAGTCATGTTACAAAATATGCTTAAATTAAATACATCTCCTATACACAGCCTATTTATTTAATTAATGCATATCTTCTAACGTGACATTACAAAATTAATGATTTTTTTCTCGTATGCCTGTAAAAGTCACATATAATTTTTTTTTTCAATGCACAGTTTTGCAATAATAAACGATAATATTTACTGTGTCCAACCAAAATTATCTATCTGTCATTTTCGTATAGAAGATCTGGCAATACTGGATTACGAACACGTGATTATCTAGGAATATTTGGTTTTATAATTTCGTTTTTAAAATAAATTATTAAAAAAAAAATTGTTTTGTTATTTATTATAAGTTTTTTTTTAATAATTATAATTAGACAATCCTTTCACCTTTGTTTTCTTGCCTTCTCAAGAAAAAATGTTTTATGTTGCTTTATTTTTGTTTCCCATACTTTTTTCAATATTTTTTTCTTTTTGATTTCACAACTCATTTTAAGATTTTAAAGAACACTGCATAAAGAAATGTCACTGCAACTGTCAATAACAAAAAGCGTTAACATAGAAACCAACTATCAACTATTTTTTACGTTTTTTAATTCACTATCCTGTGTTACAATATATATGTATATTAGGCTGGGCCAAAAAAATCGACTATTTTTTTTGTAAAGTATATCGCCTATCATCGCAATTTTAGATTTTTTTTCCTGAGCGAGTTTTTGTCTCAGAACTCCCAAACCATTGAGTTGTTCTACAAAAAAGGTTTGATTGGAATTTCCCGTCAGATGAACCATTTTCTTACAATCATGCCTTAAAAATTGGTATAGTTTTACAATTTGATCTTTTAACTTTGGAATTTTGTAATGCATGTAAAAATCAGTACCCAGAAAAAATCGATGAATATTCTTATCGAAAATCAAATGCTCTACAAAAAAAGTCTCTTAACATTTTTGGCTAAATTCACTTCATCAAAAGTTATTCAAGGTTAAATTTGAAGTCAAAACGAAATTCTTGTTTTTTCAGTCAGTTAAAAACTTGAATTCTTTTATCGATGATCATCTTTATGTTATTGATAAAATTACTAAAAATTAAAAATAAATAACACAGAGTTTTTTCGCTTTAAGAAGCTATTTTCTTTAGAAAATATTATTTTCACTGTTAAATAATAAAAATCATGTTGTTTTTTTATTGCAAATTGTTAATTAGTTATGTAATACACATTTATAAAGAAAATAATTAAATTATCACCCATAATAAACAAATCTACAGATGAAAAAACAAGAATTTCGTTTTGACTTCAACTTTAACCTTGAATAACTTTTGATTGAGTGAATTTAGCCAAAAATGTTAAGAGGCTTTTTTTGTAAAGCATTTGATTTCCCATAATATTCATCGGTTTTTTTTTCTGGGTACTGATTTTTACATTAAATTACAAAATTCCAAAGTTAAAAGATCAAAATGTAAAACTATACCAATTTTTAAGGCAAGATTTTAAGGAAACGGTTCATCTGGCGGAAAATTTCATTTGAACCTTTTTTGTAGAGCATTTAATTTACTTAAAAAAATATTTCTGAGTCAATTTTGTTAAGCTCAATAGTTGGAAGTTCTCAGACAAAAACTTGCTGAGGAAAAAAAAATTATTGCCATGATTTACTTCCTAATTTTAATATTATGGACACAAACTTTTTTTTCACCCCAAACCATATTTACGATATACTTTTCAAAAAAAAATAGGTGATTTTTTGGCCCAGTCTAATGTATGTAGTATATAATGCCTTAAGTATTTAAATAAAAAATAATTATTAAATTAGTTAGAAATGTTTAAAAATATTTATGCATTAAGTATAAAAGCAACGCACTGCAATGTACAGGGTGGTCCACGTAAGGTGACCCATATACTTATCTCAGAAACTACTGGAGTCACAAAAAATTTGTAAGGAACAAATATTCACGAAGTAAAAAATATTTTTAAAATATTATACAGGGTGCTCGGTTTTCCTTGGGACGATACCAACTTTCTTATTTTCAATGGAACACCCTGTATTTTTTTGCATTTTTGGATTCTTTCCACTTTTTTAGGTATATTTTGTAAATATATTAAATAAGAAAATGTTAATACTTTTTGAGTAAAATTAAAATTTATTAAAATTTCTCTAAATGTAGACACTCGCTAAAAGTTAAAAATAACCAACTAAAAGTTATTATTTTTTATATTATGTAGTCTCCATCTCTTTAATAATAAGTAAGCTATAAGTTAATTATTATATTTTTTGGAAAATATCATACAGGGTGTTTTCTATGTCCCGTTGAAAATAGCGATTTTAAAAGTTTAAAATCTTGTTTTTCTTCAATGGAACACCCTATATATTTTTGCATAATTGGATAGAATAAGTAATTACCTTTTATTTTATATATATATGTCCTATACCTAAACCTAACAGAAAAAAAAATATTCGCATTTTTCACAATTAGTAGCTTTTTTCCAATTACCTTAGTTAAATTTTCATTATTCAAAGAAAACACCCTGTATAATATTTTCCAAAAAATAAATTAATTAACTTATAGCTTACTTATTATTAAAGAGATGAATGCTACATAATATAAAAAATAATAACTTTTAGTTGGTTATTTTAAACTTTTAGCGAATGTCTACATTTAGAAAAATTTTAATAAATCCTCATTTTACTCAAAAAGTATTAACATTTTCTTAATTAATATATTTACAAAGTATACCTAAAAGAGTGTGTAGATTCAAAAAATGCAAAAAAATATAGGGTGTTGCATTGAAAATAAGAAAGTTGGTATCGTCCCAAGGAAAACCGAACACCCTGTATAAATGAAAATATAATATTTTAAAAATATTTTTTACTTCGTGACTACTAAAGAACCAATGATATGCAACATGAAAATGATAAACATTGAATGTATTTAAATTTTATTTTACGGTTAAGAAAAGATTCCCAATCGAAATTTTGAGTCAGTTTAAGATTCTTTCCTGCATACTTTGCATAAATAAAATTTGCTTTGTGCTATGTAAATGAAATAATTTTAATAATGAGGTTACCGAACCCCCACACTCAACTTTAGAGCTTTGTAATTTTTTTTTGTTTGTGCATTAAAAACACATAAAAGTACGAAAAGAATTTTATACTTTTACCAGTGCAAACGTTGAAATGTATTTATTCTTTTATATAAAAGTTTTACTTACCCACCGCTCTTCTAATCAGCAAGTGCCTGTAAAAAAAGTCTCCAAAACAAAATAAAAATGCACATCCGAAATAAATTGTTTTACTAAGCGTATTAATTTGTAGAGTTTTATTAACTCTTTATAACAATATTGTATCAAACGACTCTTTTCTTATACCAACAGTATCATCATTACAGCCAAACATTTTTTTAAAACATTTTTTAAAATTTTCATCATATTTATAATAAAGGTAAAACATTACCGTTGAATATCCAAAACCTAATACATAACCTAAACCTTCCATGTACATGCAATATTTGTTAATTACAGGCGATTTAAACAATACCATTAAACAAAGCATAATCCAGTTAAAAAACCAGCACAAAAAGTAAGCGGTAACTAACACTAATACAAAATTATTTTTTTCTATTACAATGCTTGAAGTTTTGAGCTTGATCAACCTTAATATGTGTGTAAAAATAATTATAATAAAAGCTATAACATAAGTGAAAAAGAACATAATCACCGATAGGGGGAAACTGAGTTCTTGAAGGCAGAAACTTATGGATAAGAAACCAACAGCAATAGTGACGATCCACACTGTAAAAGTTATAAATCTGGCGGATTTTTTACACTTTATAAAATAATTTTGCCCGCCATATATCATAAGATACCAGTCCATTAGTGCCACAACAATAAACAGTAAGTTACCAGTCATTAAAACAAAAAGGCTTTCGTTCCAAAGGCAGGCTGATTCGTACGTTATGTCGGAAGCTATATCGTAAAAATCCGCGAAAATTGGAAAAACTATCAAAGTAAATAAATTTCCAATGCAGAAGTTGAGTATGTAGAGGTTTACGTGGGTTTTCATTATTTGGTATCGTAGCAAAACAAATATTATGATGAGATCGCA